TTTGAACTGCTGACCTTAAGGTTCACAGCCCGATTTGTAACCACTACACTCCCAGAGCTCCTTGACTATAGTACCAGTAATTGTCTTCTAAATACATTCAAAAGGAAATTCCTGAGTTTCATATTGATAGTAATCTATCAATTACATTATTCAAGAGTATGAGCACATAATAGCAGAATAAATTGTACTTTAAGGAAAATACATGACTGGGCACTTTAACCAGCATGATATGAATAGAGATATTCTTTTTGTATTTCAATTTGCTCTTACCTACATGACTCGATGGCACTTAACAACAACAAACATGAGACACTGAATAGCTTCACAGCTCCTGGCTACCAGTTACCTTCCCAAATTGGTATGTTCCAGTATCTGTATTCTGTATCCTATTGAGCTCCCTGGGAAAAATACACATTACAATGACTCTTCCATTGATTCACATATCAGATTTTTTCAGAACAGAGAGCATAAAATAGCAGCTCCTACGTATTTTATCCACCACTCATCTGTCAGTTTGTCATACTGTGGTGGCTTGTGAGTTGCTGTGATTCTGAAAGCTATACCACCGGTATTTTAAATACCAGCAGGGTCACCCATGGTGGACAGGCTTCAGATGAACTTCCAGATGAAGACAGACTAGGAAGAAGGAGTGACTAACTACTTCCAAATATTTAGTCACTGAAAATCTTATGAATAGCAGAAAAACACTGTCAGATATACTCCTGGAATATGAGCCCCTCAGGTTGGAAGGCACTCAAAATACGACTGGGGAAGAGCTGCCTCCTCAAAGTAGGCTTGACCATGATGACGCAAATGGAGTAAAGCCAGTGGGAGAAAATCCCATAGGACCTTTCATTTACTGATGGGGCACAACTCAAATATAAAAGAAACAGCTGTAAACATCCATTGAAAACAGGAATATGGAATGTACGAAGTGTGAATCTGGGAAACGAAAAGTTGTCAAAATGAAATGAAATGCATAAACATTGATATCTTAGGAATTAGGGAGCTGAAATGGACTGGTATTGGCCACTTTGAATCTGACAACCACATGGTTTACTATGCCGGGAATGACAAATTGAAGAGGAATGGTGTTGCATTCATTGTAAAAAACAAACAAACAAACAAACATATCCAGATCAGTCATGAGGTACAACGCTGTCTATGATAGGATAATATCCATGTGCCTACAGGGAAGCCCAGTTAATACCACTATTATTCAAATTTATGCACCAACCACTAAAGCCAGTGAAGATGAAAGAAGAATTCTACCAACTTCTTCAATCTGAAATCAATCAAACACGCAATCAAGATGTATTGCTCATTACTGGTGATTGGAATGCAAATGTTGGGAGCAAAGAGGAAGGATCAGTAGTTGGAAAATATGGCCTTGGTGATAGAAATGATGCTGGAGCTTGCATGACAGAATTCTACAAAACCAATTATTTGTTCATTTCAAATACCTTCTTAACACAGCATAAGAGATGACTTTACACATGGACCTCACCAGATGGAATACATAGAAATCAAATTGACTACATCTGCAGAAAGAGATGATGGAAAAGTTCCATATCATCAGTCAAAACAAGGCCAGGGGCAGACTATAAACAGACCATCAATTACTCATATGCAAATTCAAACTGAAGCTGAAGAAAATGAAAACAAGTCCACAAGAGCCAAAATATGACCTTGAATATATCCTATCTGAATTCAGAGATCATCTGAAGAACAGATTTGATACATTAAACACTAAAAACAGAAGACCAGAAGAGTTGTGGGACGACATCAAGAACATCATACATGAAGAAAGCAAAATGTCATTAAGAAGACAAAAAAGAAGGAAAAGATCAAAATGGATGTCCGAAGAGACACTGAGGGTACCAGAAATTGATGGCATAAAATTTGAAATCTTTCAAGAAAGTGAGGTGGCACAGGAAGCACTCACTCATCTATGCCAAGAAATTTGGAAGACAACTATCTGGCCAACTGATCCGAATTTGTGTCCATTCCAAAAAGAGGTGACCCAATGGAATGCGTTAATCATCGGACAATCTCTTTGATATCCCATGTGAGTAAAGTTTTTCTAAAGGTAATACAGAAATAGCTGCAAGCATACACTGACAATGAACTTCCAGAGGTTCAAGCAGGATTCAGAAGAGACCGTGGAACAAGGGATATCATTGCTGACATCAGATGGATCTTGGCTGAAAGCAGAGAATACCAGAAAGATGTTTACCTGTGCTTTATTGACTACGCAAAGGCTTTCG